GACCTCAGGTTGATATCTTATGAAAGCTTTGAAGCTTTCTTGCTCTTCTCAAGTGTATTAATAATAGAAAATGTTTTAATAATTATGATGAAAAATAATTTGTGGAAACAACACTAAGACTATGAATGCATTTTAGTCATCAAAACAACAACCATCCTTTGATGTCTGGAGCATAAGCGAGTGTTTATGTTTAAGATTAGTAGCGAGTAAAAAATAATGAGACAATTTTTACAACTCCTCCTTGCTGCCCCCTAGTGGTCAGAATTAACATCATTTTTATTTTGATAAGGTGAACTATTCTAAATAATCCAACTGTTGGTTCTGATTAAAGTTCTGGAAAATAAATAAATAAATAAATTAGATTGTTGATGCAGATTTATTTATTCATTTTTTTATTCGTTTGCTTGTGTACTGACATAACAAGTTCAGTTTAGGAATGGAAATCTGCTCTATTGTCCTGCTTTTAGGGGATTTAACTTATTTATTTACTTATTTTAAACCTAAAGTTTTATTGGATAAACCTAAACATTTGAAACACTGGCTTTTAATTAGGGATCCACGATATGTCGGCATCAATGTTGCTAAAATATTTTCCATCTTGTTTCCGTTTGTGTATCTGTTTTAGAGGGTGAGGGCGGTGATGAGGTGTAATTGTTCGGTTAAGTGACAGTGATGGTAATCATCTCAGGTACACAAATGTGTGTGGTGTGTGTTTACAATAACACAGACATACATTTATGACGTCTAACTTGCACTTTATAGAAATAAAGATATTCCAAAATTCAGCTTGCATAATTTTCAGACTAAATTAAATCTGTTTATTTCAAAAACACACACACACACACTCACTCACACTCACACACACAGAGAGAGAGAGAGTGAGAGAGACCTGTTGTAACGTCCAGGAATGGTCAGTTTTCACCTACAGATTGACCTACATGCCAACGGCCATCTACAGACCTAATGCCACCCTCTAAGGTGCATTTTACATTCTATCTCCCAACAAGCTACACGGTTCTGCAAACCTTGTTGACGTTTCAGGAGGAACAAGATGTCAGCCTGTGTTCCCAAACAAAGTCTTCTTTTGATAACACCACAGGATTGCTCACTCTCATGAAAAAGGAACTTTTACAAGTCATAAGTTAAATAATCATTAAATAATAATATGGTTGAATGAACACATGTTATATGAATACTAATGAAATGTTTTGATTAATCTGTGCTTAAATCACTGTGGTTGAAATGAAGTAATTGTATTATTACAATGAAACATTTTGGTGTTAGGATCAGTAATATTTGATTTAACAAGTGAATCATTATCTACACTCAGACACATTGTTCATTAGAGATAAATTAAAGTTAACGTAACGTCACTGCACATAGATATTTTCTTAGCCACAAATCAGAGCATCCTGTAGCTGAAAGAAGGCGTGATGTTCAGAGGTCTGTTTGTTAACACCTCTTAACATGGAATGTCCCGATTGGCCAAGTAAATCATAATATGAGAATATTAAAACAGAATCGCTTATGGAGTGATTCAGCATCCTGTTAGTTGAGCTAACTCTGACTGGCCACCGGGGGGAAACTCTCTAACCACCGCATCTCTTGACAAGCTTTCGACAAGCTAAAGCTGCCTACAGCTGACACAGCAAAACGGTTCCTTCAGCTATTCAGAAACAGCTGCTCCAGACGCAAACTAGCTCCAACCTGTGTGCCTGGCGACATCTCTGGACTGGAGCGTCGGTGCAGCGGTTAATCTACTGAACCTCGGTGCCCAGAGGTCATGCGACCTCCCTGACCTCCGGATCCGCGAAGAGGGTCTCCAAAAAGGGTGAGGTAGACACAACATGAATTGCGTCTGATGCCGTTTTGATAAGAACCATCTTCATAGTTTAATGCTATGGTGGCGCAGTGGTTAGCACTGTTGCCTCGCAGCACAAAGGTTGCAGGTTCGAAACTCGGCTGCGGCCTTTCTGCGTGGAGTTGCGTGTTCTCCCCATGCATCCGTGGGTTTCCTCCGGGTACTCCGGTTTCCCCCACAGATCACAACATGCCCTATAGGTTATAAACTGTAAGTCGCTTTGGATAAAAGTGTCTGCTAAATAAATAAACATAAACATAAACATAATGCAAACCAAATTATTTTCACGCCCAGAACTCTGTTCTTCTAGTTACAAGGTTCTGATAAACACACACCATTCAGTCACCATACATCACATCCCATCCACTTAGATTCATCCATCACAGTAGCCTTGGTTAACTTGTCATGTTTTTAATTGTTTAGAAAATAAATTTCTTGCCTTTATAAACCTGACTCAGTCTGAATCGAGATGAAGTGTGTTTGATCCCTGAAAAAGCAAAGAATCCTAGAATCTTCTGATTAAACATTCAAACACTAATAAGCTGTGATATTCTATATTTATATAGAATATCACAGCTTATTGGTCATAAGTAAAGGTAATACATTAAGCTTAAAAGCAACAAAATTAAACCCTACACTGTCGACTTTGGTTAAGTGTTTGACCCACATGCAATAGAACTCTGAGGAGGAGTAAGGGAGCTTAAACAGTTTATTTCAAAATTCATCCAAATCTTCAGAAGCAGGATGGGAATCAGGACTGGGAACTGCAAGGGAGAGAAGAGCCCCAGGAAGCTCTTCTGTTAACAGGTCTTTCTGGGAGAAAGCCATACCATCACCAGTCGTAACAGAGAGGAACTGTGCAAGGCTGGGGGTTGGTTTGTGACTCATTTAGGGTGTAAACGACTAATGCCATAGATAGGGTTCCAGTGATGATAATGGAGGAGAGAAGTTCTTATGGTATCCACTGGAGAGATGGGCAGGTGATGCACAAGAGGAGATGGCGGGTGGAGATGATGATGAAATCTGTTAAGCAACAAGTGGAGTTGAGCAGTGATAACAAGCCAAGAGGGAGAGAGGCAGCCAGCACGGAGGGGTTAGTCCAGGAATGTGTTTCATAAGCGACGAGGTCAGCTGGACACTAGGAGGTACTGAGAACCTGAGTGAACGAGAAGGATTAAACTCGAGGAAACACTAGGAAGTCACGGGGAGAAGGCCAGCACTCAGAGTTTACCACATAGGTTAACGATCTGGCATCAAGAAGCTGGCTGCTTCTTCTTTTATCCTTCTTCAATGAGGCAGGCTGGACGCCCTCAGGGTGCAATTCAATTCAATTTTTTTTATAAAGCACCAAATCACAACAAGAGTCGTCTCAAGGCACTTCACATAATAAACATTCCAATCCAGGTCAGTTCATTAAGCCAATCAGAAAAAATGTTTCCTATGTAAGGAACCAAGCATCAAGTCACTGAAGCTAAGTAGCTACGGCTGTTTACGGGTTTTTCAACAGCGCGGAGCCAGGACTCCAATTCCGACAACCTCGCCTCCAAAGCTACAAAAGTGCTACATTTATTACACGTACCATTATCGCTAAAGGAGGCAGAGGAGTAGCTAAAAATCTGACACAGAGAGCAAGAGATAGGATACGGAGAAGCAGAGATAGAAGTAGCCATAGCCATGCTGAGGCTAAGCTAACTGGACGAGCAACTCGTTCAACACCAAAGAAACTGCGTGCAAACTCAAATGGTTCCCTAAAAGCTAGGTGGAACAACAGAAAATGTGTGTTTTAGTGTGCTTATGTGCTACAATAACTCAGAGATATCCTAGTCCAGAGAAATTAAATCAGTTTTAGCGAGCCCCAAACACCAAACAGCTACACGTAGTGCAACACTGAAAAGAGGAAACAGGAAACGCCTTACCGCCAGGTGCATTGTTGCCACAGCAACACCTTCACAGCAACTGCACCCTATCACAGCCTATCATACATCCCGCTGCACGGAGAAAGCCAAGCAGTGCCTTCACCCTGACCCAGTCTGTCACCTCTAACAGGGTCTGCAGACTAAATACAGACACCACAGGAGCTCCTAAGCAGCCAAACAATATCCTTCTCTTTGCTGCATATTGCTGACAGTGCATCAGAACATGGCCCACCGTTTCCAATGCTTCACAATCACAGCAACCATCCAGGTGCCTCCCCACTAAAAACAACCCCCCTCAGACAACTATGACCCAGCCTCAATCGATTAAAAACCACAGAATCACATCTCCCACACCCAAGAGACAGCCCACCACCAATAACCCAACACTACAGGCCATAGTAAGACCGACTTGTAGACCCCGCTTCCCAAGAGTCCACAACCACAAGGCCAATCACAGAGTTCCATTCCTGCAAACCATAGTCCACTGCCAAGTCTACTTCATGCTGCAGCAATGCATCCTTAGCCACCGTATCAGCCTGTTCATTGTCTTCCACCCCAACATGCTCCAGTACCCACACAAAGCCGACCTCACAGCCCAGTGCACCCAGCTCATGTGGCAACAACCTAGTGGCCACCAGGAGATCAGGAGCAAAGCAGCCTACCTGGCAAAACCAAGCAGTGATCATTGAGATGCTTGGCTTTGAGAGCACGAGCAACCACGAGAAACCAAACCCACCATGGTTGGAGGTCATAATCAAGGCAGCACAGAGAGAGGTGATGGACTAAAAATCCTTTTTCTCTAGTTATTCACGTAACAACTTCTTAAATATTTATAAAAATAGGTGAAAACATGTTTCTGCATCTTTGATTTTTACTTGAACACGCTTTGTTATTTGATTTTGTGTTAAACTCAACCTGCCTTCACTGGGTCTGATGTTTACTCAAGTGTTCAATGAATGAGAACAAAGAACATCTGACATTTTTACTGTATTTGATGTTCATCCTCAATAACTGTGTGTCTGTGTGTGTGTGTGTGTGTGTGTGTGTGTGTGTGTGTGTGTGTGTGTGTGTGTGTGTGTGTGTGTGTGTGTGTCCATATCAATATCGGTATCGGCCCAAAATTTCACATCAGTGTTTTTATTCTTTCTGACTCAATGAAAGATGAACACCGGCCCCATCAGCCTTCAGCTACTTCCTCTTTCTGTGCAAATAAAAGCAGCTCTGAGTCCAGGAAGCTCTTCATTCTCCTGATTACTTCTGTTTACACTAACAGAAACTTTCTCATCATGGGGAACTTCGTCGCCAACGAGGGACTCTCCATCTTTGTTATTGTGAGTAAATGTATCACTTCCCTTTGTTTGTTGTAGAAATCCTCCAAACAGGGTGAATAAATACCTTTAAAAGCTATTAAAAAAAAGAAAACTGTGTGTTAAATCATCTTTTTTGTTGATGTTTTTTTGGAAGGGGATTTGTTGATTATTACAGGATTTTTTTTGTCCTCGTGACTATAAAGATATCAACCCACATTCATAAAATAAAAATACAATAGTTTAAAAATTTTAACTAAACATTTGATCCTAAACAGTCAGAAAAATCACAAAGGACCACAGAGTTTGGTTTCTGTTGTGAGCTTAATCATTGAAATAGCTTTTCTTTTATTGTTTTTCCAGCTTTTTGGATTTATTTTAAGTTTATGACAAAGACTTTTGTTTTTAATCTTCACTCCTAAAGTTTTGGGTTTGTTTTCCAGCTGGTCTGGTTGGGAATCAACGCTTTCCTGTTTGTTCATTTCTACATGGCCTTCCTGGTGGACCGCTGGTTTTACACCAGAGTGCTGCTGGGGGTGAGACCAATCTACTCTATTGTATTTGTGAAACTAAGTATTAAAATAACAGTCTGATTCACGCTTCAATCTTTAGTGGAGAATTGGGACGTGCTCTCTTTCATTTCCTCAAAGCACTGCAGCTGTCTGACGGTGTTATATGAAACGTTACATCTTTCTGTTTTATTACACATCCGGAGGAAAAATGTAAAATATGAGAAGGTGTTAAGATAAATCTTTCTAAATACCTTACTTAAAAACAGAAAATGGGATTTTAAGGTTGTTTCACATTTTTTACGTGTCACATTTTCACGTGACACGTGAGGTAACGTTATATTTTATACGTATATTCCATGCTGTCGTTCTTTTTAAAACACAGAAACTGTTTTGTTTACCTCTTTTGTCGCTACGTTTCGCCGGCGGCTGCAGGCTTCCTCAGGCTGACGCTGATGGTGGCGCGTCACTTCCTTCTCTGTTTATCCGTTTATCTGCGGGCAGCAGAGGACGTTGTCGCCCTCTACTGCCCGCTCTCCCCTCTCCGACGATGCAGTCCCATGCGCGGTCTAACGTGTACACTCCGTCGTCCCTGTTCATGGTCCCACATCCACATATCCTTATCTCTATAGCTTCTTTTATCCATCTTTTGTATTTTTGTTGTTCGGTGTTTATGACCCTTGTGTTGTCCCAGTCCATTACATGGTTTTCTCTTATGCAGTGATCTGCAACGGCTGACTTCTTTATTGTGCTTTCTGCTTCTCCTTTTGCTGCTCTTTTAGATTTGCCTCCTTCTCACACTCCTTTCTATGTTTTATTGTTCGTGTGTTGAGTTGTGTCCGGTTTCTCCTGTGTATGTTTTATTGCAGTTTGCATGGGATTTCATAAATGACTCCACATTTAAGTCCAGCTGGTATCTTGTCTTTTGGGTGCACTAGTCTGTTTCTAACTGTTGTGTATGGTTTTGTTGGTGTGTTTATGTTTTTTCTCTTATTTGTTCTGTTATGCCTTTGATGTATGGTAGGGTTATCACTGGTTTTGGTTCTTGTCTTTCTGGATTTCTGGTTCTTTGCTTAGGTTGTTCTTTACTTTCTGTTCATACGTACAGTATATGTTTCAATATAAATATATACTTTTGAAAAGGTGTATTTATTGGTTAAATTGAATATGTAGGCGAGTTACTACCCGCTAGCCACCAAAGCTGCATCTACTAAGTAACTAACCAACCACAGCTAACTGCTTTAGATATTTAAAAAAAACATTTCAGCCAGATAGCTACAATTACTTGAATTACATTTAAACTGGAAATTTGCCCCCGAAGTAGCTGCCGGCTTCTAATCCGCCATCCTTTTGAAAATACAGTGCTGCATTTTGGAAACATTTTTAACAATGCCAGGCTACAAGACACCTCCCGTGTATCCTTGCTCAGCTAGCTAAACGGCTAACAAACGGAGAACAGGTGCCTCGCTAGAACATGAACATTGGAACAAGCCTTGGCAGTTCCTGATGACGTATCACCTAGGCAACCAGGGCGGGACCAAAACATCAAGGTGAAGTTCCTTGGCAGTGAGAAACACCCCTAGACACTCTTCGCTATCTCTCCTCGTTGCAAAAAAATACAAAAAAGCCTTCCTCTCGTTGAGCACGAGCCAAGATGGGCGAGCCCATGAATGCATATTCACAGTGTGACATCACAGTGTGAGGATTTTCAAATCCTAGCATTTCACCATCTGTTTTTTTTATCAAAAGCTAATGCAGGAGATCGGTGTAGACGACTGTTTTCATGTTCAGCCTGCATGAAAACCTCAGAGTGACTGATTATAATCAGAAATAATCATTAAAACATGTTTTTTCAGTCAACCACACCTTTAATAAATGAAGTGAATTCAAGCATTAATGAAACTTGAAACAGCTTTATTTGTCTTGAATTTATCACTAAGATTATTTCATTTAACAATGCCCCCAGAATGAAAACAAGGATCCCTTCTTTTATAAATGTTTTATTTAAATTAGTAACAAAGACGTATCATGACTCTGAGGAAAATCCGCTTCTAATCTGCTTTGCCGTACGCCCTGAATCACACATTTGTTGTACTTCTATGTAAATGAAAAGTAATGATGGGTGTTTCGACCATGCCTGTCACGTACTTTAAGATTTATCAGCTTGTAAAAATTTGTAATAAGCATGACTACAAATCAGACGTGGGCACGTCGCATATATGACATCAGCACAGAATCTCCTCTCCCCTAGCGTAGCTGCTACTTACCAAATGACAAGATTTATGGTGGCTCTTTCCCCCTGAAGGAAAGATTCAATGTTGGCTGAGCTTACAGCCATTTTTTCTCTGTTTTTCTCCGTGTCTGGTTCAATGATGTCAATTTGGCCATGTGCATTTGTAGTCCTGGACGGATTATCACACAAAACCTAAAATAGCGTTTCTCCCTGATCGAAAAGAGGTGCTTTTTTGGTATTAAAATGCTTCTTTAAATTTCACGGACATCATGTGTGAAATCCATGGCACGTAAAAAGTGGAATTAGAAAATAGCGTTTTTATTCCCATTGACTTGCATTTATGTTTTCGTTCTTCTAGTGACCCATGGTCCGGAAGTAAATGGGCGTGACTTAGGCTATTACTTACTGGTTTGCACATTTCGATCTAGAAGTTGCATTTTTTTTTATCTATTTTCTCCACAGCTGAGTTTGGTGTAATCAGACCATAATCATGTCAGAACAGCAAAGAGGCTGTATTGATGCTCATTAACAGCTAGTATGTGATAAAAGAGCCTCAAGTGAAAGTGGTGGGACATGGAGCTTTAAATTTTAGTCACTGGTCCAGGACCTGCCAAACAGCTGGTTTCACCTCAACAGAAGTGAAACAACTGCTGTGATCTGAGACTAAAATAGAGCAACAAGAAACAACTTTTTGACTTTCAGAAACATGAACTTTTTTTTAATCTCATTATTATCAGTGTTTGAGGTGAATGCATAACTTCAAAACTTCAGGATGAATACATTAAAATACAGAATTTCACACATGTAGTTGGTGATTCTGCAACGCCTAAAAGGGTCAGTTTTCACCTATATATTGACCAACATAGTGACCTTTCATCTACAGCATAAAACCACTTTCTATTTGGCCTTCCAGAACCAGAAGGTTCTGCTCGGCGCGTGTTGACATTCCATGAAGACAAAACATCCAGACAAACATTCTCTCCCATGGTCCTACACTCTCTGTGAAAGCCAGACGTCAACATTCTTCACTATGAATAAGGGAAGACTCCATGACTTTTACAACTCATAAGCTTACAATAATCATATGTGATAAATGAACAAGATGATTAAATGAAATATTTGAATAATCTGTGCTTAAACCAATGATGGCTTTAAAAAGAATAGGAATCATACAATGATCCATGTCTATCACAAATCAGTGTGTGTTTTATTTAACAAGTTAATCATTGTTTACACATTACAATAAGATACTCATTAAGGTTATGAACATCTTTGGATCTGAAGGAGGGCGTGGCTTTCTGAGGGATGTTGGTAAATACTCAGAAACATGTCAAATTCTGAGTGGCCAAACTTGACCAGAAATCATAACAAAGTAGTTTATTAAAACAGGAATTACTTCCCGAGTAATTTGGTTTCCAGCTGAACCCCGATTCGGCCAAATCGGGAAAGAAGCCTATTTTGAAACAATCACCTTTGACCTTAAGTCAAAGCCTTTCTGTGACGCTGCAAGTGATTACAGACACAACAGCTCTTTTCAGAGCTGCTTCAACTCTCAGACATCCACCTTGGACACCTAATCTGCAGACCCCGGGTTGCATCTCATGGCTGGGGAAGCTGAACTCGGAGGAAGCTACTAATTGCTGAATATTGTGGTTTTGACGTCCGGTGACCTCACCACTCTGACCGCAACCCTCCGGACCACCGGGAGCAACTCATACAAGGGTATCCTAAGCCTGCATACTGGTGTCTGATGAGGTTTTTATCAATAACTAACTCTCTAGTTTATAACAAACAACAAATGCTTTTACACCCAGATTTCACAATTTTTCTCAGATACAAAGAACGGTTGCTACAACATCTAGCTTCCATCACAGCACCTCACATCCACCACACCACATCTCCTTGTTCACATCTTGGCATGTATAAATTGTTAGTTTAGATAAAAGGATTGAATTCATTATATAATCTGAATTAATACGAAGTGTGGTTATGGTCCCTAAAGAAGCAAAGAACCCTAGAATCTTCTGAATAAACATTCAAAGATCAGATTGATGTTTCACATTTATATGGAATCATCACATATGTTTGGTCATGATTAACATGTATTAATTGCTACATATTATTAATGATATTTAGTTTATAATCTGGGCTCAATGTATGAAATTCTCTCAAAGTCAAGAAAAATATTTGATTTATGGCAAATATAAAATAACTTTATATCTGCTTGATCTCTTTGAATGTGAGCTAAAATGGTGATGTTCATAAACATATAAAAATTAGTTCTATTTCATCCTGTTTCCACTTCATGTCAAATGTTTCCTGCTACTAAATGATTTTGTTTAGTTTTTATTGTGGCTCATTTCACTTTCATAAAACAGCATAATGAAGTCAGCTGAGTATTTTGTTTATTTATTTTTAACCTAAACAGAACTACAATTTTATCTCAGAAATCTTTACAAAATGATGAATTTCTCATTAAAACCCAGTGATTGCATCAATAAACGTAATATCTCATTGTGAAAGTCCTGTTATTTCTATGTTGTCACTGTTAAATCTGAACTAGTTGATGCTAATTTGACTAAAATGGACCAGCTGTGTGTAAAGCTGCTTCTAAAATGTAAAATAGGAGAAACTGAACAACGTCCTGTTGCTGCACATTACCAAATTAACATAATTCTGTCAGTGACCTTAAAACCTTGAATTTAGTAAAAAAATTTGGAGCTCAGGTCAAAAATTACATAGACGAAATTGTATTTAAATTTTGTTTTATGTAAAATAAATGAAATTGTCACTAATTTGACTGATTTGTGTTTTTTCTGAGACTTTTTCATTTCATTTCCTGTTTGTAGAACTAGACCAATTGAAAATATTTTGATTAAATGTGCTTTATTAACATGTATTTCCTGGTTTTACTGTTCGGTAGCAAGCCCTGTCCTGGGCCAGAGCTCCTGCCGCCTGCCTCAACTTTAACTGCATGCTCATCCTGCTGCCGGTCTGCAGAAACCTGCTCTCCTTCCTCCGAGGATCCATCCAAGTAAGAACACATAAAACAAATGAAAACATTGTGGTTTATTCACAGTTTTGTGAATTTGATTAAATTTCCTTCTTGTTTCTGTTCAGTTCTGCAGCCGAACTGCAGCTCGTCAACTAGATAGAAATCTTACTTTCCACAAACTGGTGGCTTACATGATCGCGTTCCACACAGGTATGAAACACTCACTGAAGTTTTGATGTCAGAGATGGCGTTTCTGCTGTTTTATATTTAAATGCACACATTAAAGTCACTTTTACCAATAAACTCACTTAAATGATTCAAACAATGCTGAAACTTAAGGTGTCCTAAAACAGGGCCATGGGGCACTCCACTGATACAATTTCCTGTGGAATATCTGTAAATATGTGTCTTTACTGATGATAAATTAAAACTAATAACGATTACAGGTCATGATCTATCAAAGTAGTCAGTGACAGTTGGTTTTGTTGCAAAAATACTGATTAAAGGGAAACAAGGTTTTAGGAAAAAGTTAAGAGTTTGTGTTTTATAGTCTTTATTAGAATGAAGGCTTTTTTTAAAACATCAATTCTGTTTTGAAATGTTTTAGACATGTGTAAAAGCTTAAATATAAAAAATGTAAAAAATACTTCATAAATGTTTGAATAATGCTAAAAGACAAAAAATTTCTTACTTTGAAGAATATACACTGCGCTTCATCCGATTGAGCACCAGTCCTCAACGGCTACAGCACCAGCAATTGTGAAGACAGCAATCGAAACGTAGCTCATTTATTTGCACCAATTTATTTATTTTTTTTACTTTGACCCAAGTGCTCCAGCCTTCTTCTTCCACTTCACAGTGTAGTTTTTTAAGAAAAAGTAACAAAACCAAAAATAAACAGAGTATTTTATGAATTCACAGAAAATGATTAAAGCCACTGGAAAGAAAGAAATGAAAAGAAAAAGAATTCTGACTTTAAAAATTCTGAGATAAAGTCTTATTTTTATTTCTATTCAGTGGCCCTGATCCTCTTCCGTATTAAACAGACTCAAACTTCTAAGCATTAGATGGAGAATTTTATCTTGAGTTTCATCTTGTTTTTGCAGCTGTGCACATCATCGCTCACTTGTTCAACTTTGAGTTTTTCATGGATGCTCAGCTGAACCGCAACAGCAGCTTCCTTCCCTTCGTTCTGTCTGAAATTGGTACAGATGACAACGCATCCTTTCTGAACCCGATCAGGAGCAACGAGACGGTGAGCTGCTGCTCATCTCATCCAGTCTGTTTGCTTTGAGTTGCTGGTAAATTCTTGTGTTGCTAAACTTTGTGAAATCCCAACAGTTCATTTCTAAATTGAACCATTAAGAGAAGTAATGTGAAGAACTTCCTCTTTATTTGTTTAGCTCATCTGATAAACTTCTCCTTTAACCAGGTTGTAGCTTCAGATTTCTTCAATAGCACAAACCAGAAGATACATTTCTGTTTTTAGATATAAATATATATTTCATTATTATTAGAGCTGCGGGATGAATGCAGGAGTTAAGTGCTCGCCTCGTAATCGGAAGGTTGCAGGTTCGAGCCCCGCTCAGACTGTCGCTGTCGTTGTGTCCTTGGGCAAGATACTTAACCCACAATGCCTGCTGGAGGTGGTTGGAGGGAATGGTGGCGCCTGTGTTCGGCAGCCTCGCCTCTGTCAGGGCGCCCCAGGGCAGCTGTGGCTACACACCCGGGTGTGAATGGGTGAATGACTGGTTGTGTTGTAAAGCGCCTTGGGGGGTTCCAGGACTCTAGAAGGTGCTACATCAAATACGGGCCATTTGCAAGTAACTTCCTGTAGATTCAGTTGCAAAGTTTTCTTTGAATTTGACGTAAACATTTTTTTCACGTGTTTTATTTCTTAAATAAGTTGACAGGCCTTCATTCATTCCCCCTAAACAACAGTTTCTTCCATATAGAGTGATATTCGATCGCAGATTAATGATGAAGAGAGTTGACCCTAACACACAGCCCTGAGGAACACCTTCATTGAGATTTACTAAGAGAAAGTTGTTCATCACTGTGAGCAGAAAGACTGTGTAGTCTGAGGTTTGTGGTGTGGAAAGACTCAAAATACAGGGTTGGGAGGAGGACTTTCCTTAAAAATGAATCGATTCTGTCTTTCATCTTTCTAGAAACTTTATTATTGTTATTATTATTATTATTCAGGTAGAGACTATGGTAAATGGTAAATGGCCTGTATTCAATATAGCGCCTTCTAGAGTACTGGAACCCCCCAAGGCGCTTTACAACACAATCAGTCATTCACCCATTCACACACACATTCACACACTGGTGGGGATGAGCTACAATGTAGCCACAGCTGCCCTGGGGCGCACTGACAGAGGCGAGGCTGCCGAGAACACCGGCGCCACCGGTCCCTCCGACCACCACCAGCAGGCAACGTGGGTTAAGTGTCTTGCCCAAGGACACAACGACAGCGACAGACTGAGCGGGGCTCGAACCTGCAACCTTCCGATTACGGGGCGAGCACTTAACTCCTGTGCCACCGTCGCCCCGTAGACTAGTTGCATTTCTCCTTTGAGTTCTAAAACTGTGACCTGAAACCTGATTAGGCCCAGAGGAATGAAAGGAGAACCTGAGTTTCCAAAATGAATCTCATTTAAACTTCAGTCCACCTTAAACTAAGAGACTTCCGGCCCAGAACCACATCTGTTTTTAATATTCTCCTGCCAGAAGCTGTTTCCAGTCCAGCTGTGAACCTGCAGAGATTTCTGTGATTCTCTGAAGTTTTTTTAATGAAAAATAAACAAAATCCACCAATCTGTTTATTATTGAAACTCTGAGGTTTATTTCCATCTCTAAACAGACTTCAGAAAGACCTCAGATGGCTTTTAAACTTACTCATGCTGACCTGCTGTCAGGTTTCGTTCCTGGTTGGCAGCAATTGCATTTAATGACAAAAATATCTTTTTCTGAGTTAAATTAGTTACAATTTTAATTTATGACTGTTTAAAGGAGAAGTTTGCATCTTAACCCAATCGGAGCTCTGAATGGAACTACAGTGTGACAAAACAGGCATTAAGCAAATGAGGGAAGTTGGTCAGCTGTCCCAACCTGCAGGTCAGAGAGTGAAACTTAAGAGGAACTAAAGCAACCTCAACGCCGACCGGCTAAAACAACCCTTACCTCACATTAGAGCATTTTTTTGTGCTGACACGTGTATTTTTGTGAATAACTTTGGCTATGTTAATGCAATTTATCTAATTTTTATGGAGGATGTGTATTTTGGAAGGAATTACAAAAAAAAGTTTGAAAAAATATTCAACCTACTTTATTAAAACGTGGAAATCATTTTGTACAGTTAAGCACATTGAAGCATTTTTTTGTGCCATTGACTTTCATGTAAATCATATATTTTTAATTAGCATAAATATTGGCATAATTTTAAAAAATTATGATTGTGCCCGTGTTTACAGTCTCATCACAAATGTAAGAAGCAGTTTTTACTGTTTTTCACTACATGGCATACTTTCTCCATATATAGCAGGGCAATGGCTGACCCAGCATTTAAACTGAATGATTTAGCTGTATTTCTTTACCTCTGACTGCCCATTATAATACATATTTTGCAAAAAAATGGTTTGTGTGTTATTTAGAGATGCCATACAATAGTTTGCATGTGTGTGTTCAGAATTTTTGGTAATTGTGCTTTTTCAGTGTTCTTTCAAAAAATAAGCCTGACTGAATGTACAAAATTAGCTTATTCTGCAAAATAGCATTTTGACATGTGTTCCTTTGTGTGTGATTGTTCAGGCATGCGTGTATGTAGGTATCAAAGCACTTTACAGATCTTCAAAGGACAGATCTGTGATCATTATCTGGAGTGGTTGAGCAGGTGTGGGCCATGGGAGTGTAGGGGGGGGGGCACAGGTTCTCACACTCTGTTGACTTCATGAATATTCATCAAAGGCATGCTATATATCAAAAATCAAAGGATTTTCTGCTAAATTTCAGATACTCATTCACAATTTTACTTTTGCAAAATGTTATTTCAATAAGTACAAAGCATTTGCATGGATGAAAGCTAAGATGAAGGCTGAAAAACTTCAAAGGCATACATTTGTTTTTCAAAACAAATTCCTGCAGAATCGAATTTTGTTTACATTCAGTAGGGGCACCTTACACAGGTGCACCAATTGACTAAAAGTACATATATGAGACTCAGATCAGGATTCATTTCTTTGAACCGCAACCATGAGAAGAAGATTCAATGTGAATGAAGCCCTGGAGGTGTTTCAGCAGCTTGAGGAAGAGGGAGAGTCAGCCTCATCCACGGATGACAGCTCTTGTTCGGATGAAGAGGCTGAAGATCAGGCCTTTACCCCAGGGCCTGATTCAGGGGAAGAAATGGAAGAAGGTTCAGATGAGGAGGTGGTTGCTGCAGAGGAGAGATGGGACCATCCTTTGTGGCAATCAAAGAGCGGGATCGCCTGGTCCCCGACACCCGACACCAGGATCCCCTTTCGGGCTCCAGACGTCCGCCATTGTGGGATCACCCGCCTCGCTGTCAGCTACATCCAAACTATTGAGGACAGCTTCGATTTTTTTTTAACTACAACAATCCTAGATGTAATAATAAAATACACCAATATAGAGGGAAGAAGAAAATATGACGATTGGACAGACGTTGACCGCGTGGAACTCCGGGCATTGTTTGGGTTGCTCATCCTCGCTGGTGTGCACCGTTCCCGTGGGGAATCATCTGCCAGCCTCTGGGGGGAGGAAACGGGGAGGCCGATATTCAGAGCCACGATGAGTTTGGGAAGGTTCCACATGCTGACTGCAACATTGCGCTTTGATGACCGCTTGACCAGGGCAGCCCGCCGGTTGGTGCAGCAGGGCAAGCTCGCTCCCCTGCGGGAAGTGTGGGACCTCTGGGCGGCCCGGCTCCCTCTCGCCTACAACCCCGGTGAAGATGTCTGCGTTGATGAACAGCTCGTCGGATTCAGAGGTCGCTGCAACTTCAAGCAGTACATGCCCTCAAAACCGGCAAAATATGGCATCAAGCTGTGGGTGGTGTGCGATGTGGCCACTTCTTATGCCTGGGGGATTATTCCCTATCTGGGCAAGACGACTCGAGACGCCCCGGCAGAAAGGGGGCAAGGGAAGCGGGTGGTGCTGGAACTCACGGAGGGTCTGAGCGGCCGCACTGTCACCAATGTCACAATTTTTTCACCTCGCTGGTTCTTGGAGAGGAGCTGCTAAAAAAAAAATCTGTCTTGTGGGAACAGTTAGGCGCAACAAGCCAGAGTTGCCCCCACAGCTGCTCCAGATGAAAAGCAGAGCGGTTCTGTCCTCCCTGTTCGGCTTCACCTCCACCGCCACCGCGGTGAGCTACATTCCAAAGCGCCGGCGGAACGTTCTGCTCCTCGGCACCAAACACCATCAGGTTCAGATCCAGGAGGGACCGCAGCAGAAGCCGACCGTAATCATCGATTACAACCGCTGCAAAGGGGCAGTGGACAACTTGGACAAGGTAATTTATTTATTTTATTTTGTTTTATTATAATTCACCAACCTAATTGCATATGTAATTTATTTATTCATTTATTTTTATTCCAGCTCGTTGCAACATACAGCTGCCGCCGCAAGACCAGACGTTGGCCCATGTCGCTCTTCTGCAACATGTTAGATGTGAGCGCCTACAATGCCCTGGTCCTGTGGCTGTCTGTGGAACCGGCCTGGAACCAACAGAAGAGGAGCATCCGTCGAAGGCTGTTCTTGCAGGAGCTTGGGACCTCCATGGTGAGACCAGCCCAGGCGAGGCGCACTCGCTTGCCGCGGTCCAGCAGCGCTGCAGCTCTGTTGGAGGTGCAGCAGCAAGTGGAGCCAGGTCCAGCCCAGGAGCAGACAAAGAAAAGATGCCACCTTTGCAGAGGGAAGAGGAGCGTGCATGCACGCTTTTGCCATGCATGTGGACAGGCTGTGTGCAAGGAGCACTCAACAGTTGTGTGCTCAGCCTGCAGCTGTTAGCTCACTCCCCTCTGTGTTTCTCTCTCTTTCTCTCTCTCTCTCTCTCTCTCTCTCTCTCTCTCTCTCTCTCTCTCTCTCTCTCACACACACACACACACACACACACACACACACACACACACACACACACACACACACACTTTTTCTTTGTTCGTGTGCTTTAATAAAGTGTTCAACTGGTCATCTTTGTAAGTGCATTTTTTTGTGCTCTAATGACTTTAACGTGAGTATTTTAGAAAATATGACATTACACAAAAACTACAAAGTGAGCAAAAAATATTTTTATGCCTATTTGTGACACTCCAAGGCTGTGACAACTTACCCACAAAAAAGGTCATCTGGACATAACACACAAAAAATGATTTGATTTTTTCATTTTTTGTACAGTTTTCAAACTTTGGGTTTTGCTAATAAACCTAGCAATAAAGGGGTTAAATCTGAGAAACACACACATATTTTATTATATTTTGTTAGGGCTGAAGCCAAGGATGAAATTCATGTAAAAAAATTGGGACTTATGAAATATTATATAATATTTCTATGGGAAGCTTTCTAAGTGCATTTTTTTGTGCTCTAATGACTTTAACGTGAGTATTTTAGAAAATGTGACATTACACAAAAACTACAAAGTGAGCAAAAAATATTTTTATGCCTATTTGTGACACTCCAAGGCTGTGACAACTTACCCACAAAAAAGTTAATCTGGACATAACACACAAAAAATGATTTGATTTTTTCATTTTTTGTACAGTTTTCAAACTTCGGGTTTTGCTAATAAACCTGGCAATGAAGGGGTTAAATCTGAGAAACACACACATATTTTATTATATTTTGTTAGGGCTGAAGCCAAGGATGAAATTCATGTAAAAAAATTGGGACTTATGAAATATTATATAATATTTCTAAAGGAAGCTTTCTAAGTGCATTTTTTTGTGCTCTAATGACTTTAACGTTAGAAAATTTAAACGTTGGGTAAGGGTTAAACCGTGTGTGTGTGTGTGTGTGTGTGTGTGTGTGTGTGTGTGTGTGTGTGTGTGTGTGTGTGTGTGTGTGTGTGTGTGTGTGTGTGTTGTGTGTGTATGTGTGTGTGTGTGTGTGTGTGTGTGTGTGCACGCAGAACCCCACCATCGTCATGTTCACCACCATCGCTGGGGTGACGGGCGTCGTCATCACGCTGGCTCTCATCCTCATCATCACCTCATCCATGGAGGTCATCCGTAGGTCCTACTTTGAGGTGTTCTGGTACACACACCACCTCTTCATCATCTTCTTTATTGGCCTTGTGTTCCACGGCTATGGGTGAGCCCAGTTCTGATCATCAGGTCAAATTCTCCCTCTCCTGATAATAAGGGTTTACTCTCTTTGACATGGAATGTGCTACTACTAGTTCACCTGTTGAAGTAATTATAGATTTACCAAGATAAATACAATAATATCTCTTATCTGAGTGTGTGTGTGTGTGTGTGTGTGCGTGCGTGTGTGTGTGTGTATGTGTGTGAATGCAGGCGTATTGTACGAGGACAGACTGCTGGCAGCCAGCAGACAAACAAACCTCACCTGTGTGCAGATAGATTTGAGGACTGGGGGGAAAATGAGTCGGACTGTGCTGTGCCTGAGTTTGCTGGAAACCCACCAGGGGTGAGACTTAAATCTCCCTCCTTCACCCTGACCTCACCTGCTGAATCACTTTTATCAGCTCTACTCCAACTCTCTGTGTCCTGTCTAGCAGCAAACAAATCTGAACTGCTGTCGTTGGAACGACATTGAAAACAATCGTTGGAAAATTGTTGTTTTCACTGCAAACGTTCCAATGTTTTCCTTTTCTGCAGACGTGGAAGTGGGTGTTGGGGCCAATGATCCTATATGTGTGTGAGAGGATAGTTCGAATCTACCGCTCCCATCAGAAAGTGGTCATCACTAAGGTGTGTTTAATCACTGAGGGTTTTAAACCTGCAGCAGGTTTCCTCTCTAGTATGAAAACGGACTTCTTATGGTTGTTGATCAAACCAACACAGCTGAAACTTCAAAACTTTGAATATCATGCAAAAAGTTTATTTATTTCTGTAAAAGCAAAAGGGGCCCAAACTATACTGATCGCATATGCATGATTATTTTTCAGATGTCCAACATTTCTCTATTTAAAATCCTTCATTTATTGATTTCTAGTAACATTCTAATTGTGTGAGATATTAAATTCAGGTTTTTCATAAGCTGTAAGTCATAACATTACAGTTATAACAAATAAAGGCTTAAGATAGCTGGCTTTGTCGTAATGAGTCTATCTCATATGTTAGCTTCACCTTTTATTACTGAAATAAATTACATTTTGCACAATATTCTAAATTTTGGAGTTTCACTTGTATGCATATGTATGGAACCCCATTCATGCCACTCTGATAAAAAACAATTCATTTTATAATTATGAAATAGCTAAGTCATATTTATGAGGTACTATCTCATTATTATGAGATAACTAAGTTTATTTAATCATAATTATGATATATTTTTTAAAATCAGAGTGGCAGGAATAGGTTTCCATTCACAGGAGACTGCAAAGTGAACATTTAAAATCCTATATCCTACATTCAGCTAAATTTAGCATTTTAACTGCTAGAATACACCATATTTAGCTATGTAACAGCTAAATAGAGCCACATTTATCATTTCAAAAGCCATTTATCAATACATTTTTCTTTACAACTACTAGATTTAGCTAAATTCAGCATTTTAACAGCTAAACCTGGCCACATTTTGCATATTAATGATGAAATATGGTGTAACGTAACACATTTTCTGCTCCAATTAGCAAAACCTAGCTTCTCGTAATAATAAAAATGAGCTGTGACGTTTTAGTAATTTATTTCACTGCATTAAATGATGAGATGATTTTTAACCATGAATCCAAATGATAATCATAAAAATAAACAATTAAGTAAATATCTGAAGGAAAAAAAACTCATTTAGAAAAGAACATCTAAATGTAAAAATTTAAAGAGAAATGTTCCACTTTAAATATTTAGCTAAGGTGCTAACTCAGACGTCTTTAAGACGGAAGTAGGCTATTCAGCTAAAACTAGAGTAAAACCTTTATCAAAGGTCTTGAATTTGAAGCTAAATGTGGTCAAACAGCTGGTAATCTTTGAAAGTGTAAGGCTAGACGTGACCTGTGTGTATCTTTGGTAAGTCTAACTCTGGTTGTGAACCTGGTCTAAAGGTGGTCATGCATCCCTCCAAAACTCTGGAGCTGCAGATGAGGAAGAAAGGCTTCCACATGGAGGTGGGGCAGTACGTCTTCATCCAGTGTCCGTCTGTGTCCCGCCATGAGTGGCACCCCTTCACCCTGACCTCTGCCCCAGAAGAAGACTACTTCAGCGCTCACATCCGTATTGTTGGAGACTGGACTCAGGCGCTGTATGAGGCTTGTGGAGGAGATAAAACCGAAACCCAGGAGGCCTGGAAACTGCCAAAGTATGAAACGGGGAGAATGGGAGGTTGAAAACAGAACACTGTGTTTGTGATTTGATTGCTCCCCCACTGATCAAATGTTCCTTTCAGAAGCTGACAAAAGAAGTTGCCTTCAGCTTTGTGTATTTCTGTCACACCTGCTGTAGTTCCGAAATGCGTGAGGAGGCACAGAACTACAGAACTAAAAATTATACCAAAGACCTCTCTGACAAACCACAGTGGTCCTGCTGAGTAGCATTCAGACAAAGACAGAAGGAGGTCTGCTGTTTCTGATAGAATCACCACAACAATGGTCTGATGCTACTTTTTAAAACATTTCCACTGGCCGTCTTAAAAAGACAAGTTACAAAATCCTTTGATTAAACTTTGATAAACTTCCTAAACTAGATGTAAAGTAAAGATTTATTATAGAAGAGGCCCAGACAAATGAGAAGAGGTTTAAATATTTTGTTTAATCTGTGACATTTTTAAGTGAAAAGCAGAAACTTTATTTCCTTCATTAAGGCCCTGTCCACACGTAGCCGGGGATCTGCCAAAATGTAGATATTTTTCTACGTTTTGGTCTGTCATCCACACGAAAACAGAGTTTTTTCACACGAAAACGGATCTTTTTAAACACTCCGGCCAAAGTGAAGATCTGCGTTTTCTCCGTTTTGGGTGTCTGCGTGTGGACAGACAAAACCGGAGTTTTAAGGTCCGCAACGTCACTTTCCGCGACAAAAAATGCTGACATCACGTGTGCGACCTGTGTTTACACTAGCCGACAGCATGGATGCCCTCAGAGCTGCGCTCGCTTTATCAACTGTCCAAGCGCTTTTTGCTTGTTTGTTTTTGCAAGCGGAATTACTGCTCCTTGCGGAAGACCACAGACGAAGGACGAGGTTAAGAACGGGGGAAGTACTGCCGCCTACAGGTCTGGCATGTCCTTAACAACGTATTTATCCGGGTACGTGTGGAGGTTTTTTTTAAACGAGGTGGTGTGGATGCAAGTTTTTGGAGGGGTGGATATTCGTTTTTAAAAAAACCCGGCTACGTGTGGACTAGGCCTAAGTTTACCCCTAGCAGCTTAAAACTGGTACCATGACAGGGTTCTGTTGTGTCTGTTCTCAGAGTGGCCATAGATGGGCCTTTTGGAACCGCCAGTGAGGACGTGTTCCGTTACGAAGTGGTCATGTTGGTGGGAGCGGGTATCGGAGTGACTCCTTTTGCCTCCATCCTGAAGTCTGTTTGGTACAAACGTATCCAAAACAACCAGGAGGTCTTCACCAAGAAGGTCAGATCATCAGGAACAACCTTAAGGCATTCTGGCTGGATGACTGAAACACCCATTGACTCATTGGTTGAGTGGCTGGTCGATCGGTTGGCCTGGTTGTTGGGGTGGTCATTGGGAACGTTGTTGGGGCAATCGTTGGGGCAGTCATTGGGGGCGTTGTTGGGGCGGTCGTTGGAGCAGTCTTTTGAGGTGTTCATTGGGGATGTTGTTGACTCATTGGTTGAGTGGCCTGTTTGTTGGGGTGGACATTGGGGTTGTCATTGGGGCAGTGGTCGTTTGAGATGTTTATTGGGGACATCATTTGGGTGGTTGGGCTAGTCATTGGGGACATTGTTGTTCTGATCGTTGGGGCGGTTATTTGGGATGTTCGTTGGGGACGTAGTTGGGGTGGTCATTGGGTTGGTCGATGGGGTTGTCTTTGGGGTGGTCGTTGGGGCGATCATTTGTGGTGTTCATGGGGCGGTCGTTGGGGCGATCATTTGGAGTGTTAATTGGGAACATTGTTGGGGTGGTCATTGGGCTGGTCGATGGGGCTGTTGTTGGGGTGGTCGTTGAGGCGATCATTTGGGGTGTTCATTGGGGCGGTCACTGGGGTGATCAATGGGCCAGTTGTTGGGCTGGTCGGTCATTACTTCATTTACTGATTGATTGCGTGACTGATTAACTGATGGCCGATTCTGATGCAGATCTATTTTTACTGGCTCTGTCCGGAGACTGAGGCCTTTGAGTGGTTCGCCGACTTACTTCAGTCTCTGGAGAGACAGATGGCGGAAAAAGACGTGGCTGACTTTCTGAGCTACAACATCTACCTGACCCGCTGGAAAGAGACAGAGGTACAAGTCAAAACATTATGACCTGCTTGCTGCTCTGTTATCCTTTAAATCCTTTCCTGTGCAACAGAACCAGCTCTTTCTCTTACACTTGGGTCCATTGAGTGTATTGGTATGGGTTGGAGTGGGTCGTCATGGACCGGTGTGGGTCAACGAAACAGAAACAAACAAATTAGTGTCTCAATCCGCGCCGACCTGTCCCAGAACACTCAATGGAACCGATGCTTTTGAGTACTCCTAACTTCCTGGTTATTCTCAGAAACTTTTGAGACATTTTTTCTGTCTCTTCCTTCGTCAGGCGGCTCATTTCCGCGTTCACCATGAAGCAGAGAATGATCCGATCACTGGGCTCAAACAAAAGACTCTTTATGGGAAACCAAACTGGGACAACGAGTTCACAAACATTGCATCAAAGCACCCGGGGTGAGTTTCAGCTCAAAGCTCATCAATAACCCACGAACAGCAGTCTGTGGCAGAGGCAATTTTTCATCAGTAAACAAAGACCTAGACCATACTTTAGTTCTTTTTTAAAACACAGAGCAGTTTTGTTTACCTGTTTTCCCGCTACGTTTCGTTTGCGGCTGAAAACTTCCTCAGGCTGACGCTGATGGTGGCGTCACTTCCTTCTCAACAGGTAAGCAAAACTGCTCTGTGTTTTTAAAAAAAACTACAGCATGGAATTAGAGATACGACACAGCAAGAACACACCTAAGATGTTCAAAGGAAAAGACCTAGACCATTCGGGTTCTAGATCACCACAGTTCACCAGAACAAAAACAACATTCAAGCATTCAGGACAATGGGAAATAAAATAAAGTTACAGTTTGTTCCAATTCATTCAAATTTTCAGAATTTTTGATTGTTATTGAGAGCTAGGTGTGTTTCAGGTTAAACAAACATAATAATAAATGAATTGTATGTATAAAAATAAAAGATGAGTTTTGTAGTTTTCTGTTTGTTTACTTTAAGTTTCTGCAACAGAATTTAAAAACGGGGCAGCAGTAGCTCAACAGGTTGAGCGGGTTGTCCAGTAATCGGAAGGTTGCAGGTTCGATCCCGGCTCCGGACAGATAATTCTGCTGTTATGTCCTTGGGCAAGACACTTAACCGACCACCACCAGCAGGCAAGGTGGTGGTCGGAGGGACCGGTGGCGCCTGTGCTCGGCAGCCTCGCCTCTGTCAGAGTGCCCCGGGGCAGCTGTGGCTACATCGTAACTCATCACCACCAGTGTGTGAATGTGTGTGTGAATGAATGAATGATACTGTGTAGTGTAAAGCTCTCTGGAGTCCTTAATCTGAGAGGCGCTACACAAGTGCGGGTCATTTATCATTTATAAGAATAAGGAAAGCAGTGAGTCAGCTGATCTGCTTCTTCACGCTGAATTTCTTCTCAGATGTGATAATCAGGCATAAAAGCCTTTTTATATTCACTCTTTAGACATGTTTCTGCCTTTCCAGAGCCAGGCAAGTGAGCTTGTTTACCCTCTGATCTTCAGTAGGAATGACGTACATGAGAAGGCCTTTACTGGAGAAGAAAACTGGATAGTTTTTAAGACAAATAAAGATATCTTGTAGGTTTTGGCGGTTTTAGACTAATTCCTTTGAGTGGATCAGGTTTGGTGTCGGATCTGAATGACCCCTTGGTTCTGATTGCCTCCATCCTGTAATGTTTGTGTGCAGAACCAAAGTGGGCGTGTTCCTGTGTGGTCCTCCTCAGCTGGGGAAGTCTCTAGAAAAACAGTGTCTGTCTCACACTGAGGGTGATGTCAAGTTTATCTTCAACAAGGAGAACTTCTGAGGACCCTTCAGCCAGCAGCTGGAGGTCAGACCTCTGAGGGGAGCAGATCTTCATCAGTGAGGACCAGCTGCTCCTCTTCCACCATAAACATGAAGCAAACACCACCCAGAAACATTGAGTTGGTTCCTCTTCCCTGGGTTTCTACATTTCTGAACTTCTCTTCTCTTTTCTTTTCTCAGATAGATGACTTGTGGACGTGAACTATTTGAAAACAGAAAAAAAAACAGCCTACTTCAAGTATGACCTCCAGCAGTGTGCAGTTTCATCAGTTGCCATGGTGATAGCACAGTTGTTAGGCTGCTGTCTCCATGGCAACAGGTAGAACAACAAACATAGTTGACAAAATACGAAGTTTGTTCTTCTTCGCAGAATGTCTGAATTTTTCTTCGTTTACAATAAATCTGGCTGCTTTTTTTTCATTAATCTTTTAAATAAAAGAAGTCTTTATTTTGTTCTTTTATTTTGGTAGATTTTATTTCTGCTTTAGTTTCTTTTTTTAAGTGTAGATTCTTCTGTTTGTTTTTAACCTGATATATTTACAAACGTAAAATCAAAGAGGAAAATAAAGGACAATCTTTTCAGGTTTTTATTACCGGGCAGCAGATTTCAGATTGACCTTTAACATAACTGGGAAATGGGTGAATTAGATTTCTTTCTGTGGAAATAAGCCGATCACTTCCTGCAAAGGATGCAGCTGAAATCATTTTCTTATTTCATTGTCATGAGCAGCTGAAATGAACAAATCTATGAACCCAAGGTTCCTGCACCAGCGAAAGGAACCTGGAAATGTGTCACAGCGAACGTTTTACTCATTTCTCGATGATCTCTACATCTCGTGGATCCAGCACTGCCAGACATGTAATCGATACAGACAATTAACATTCAGGGGTTTTAGCCAAATGTTTAGTTGAAGGTTGTAGATCTTTACCTACTTTTGGTTTCTGAGTAGAACTTCTGTGTTTTGTTGGTTTAAAATGTTCACAAGTTCAACAAAAATGTTCCGATCGGTAGCAGGAGGGTAGCACTACTCTGTAATAAAACCCATAAAAACTAAATATTTATCAGAGTTTATTCATTTTATTGAAATCTTTCATGTGAGAGGAAACTAAACACATCAAACAACAGATTCTAAAAGCCTAATCAGATTATTTTTCTTCAGCTGAAAACCCTCACTGACATGATACACAAACACAATAAACAAAGGCTGGATTCACCTGTGAAGTCACATGACTTGGTGAATTTCAAATAATAATGCAGCTCTGCACAGGCTTGACATGATGCAGCTGAAGATGACTGATGAAGGCTGCCACTCCTCAGAGAAATGTGCTGTTCGCACTCTGTGGTGCTCTGTCACCACCTGCTGTTCAATGCAGAACATAGCAGTGTGTGTGTGTGTGTGCGAGTGTCCTATGCAATGGACACAGCAAACACACTGACGACACAGTTCATGGTGCGATTTTCCCACCTCACCGTGCAGCTTCCTGTCCAAAAACAAGAGAAGGAGAAGATCTTATCAAGCAGGAATAAAAACACAATTTAGAGAGCTCAGGTTTTAATGCCTGACGGATGAGGAGAGATCATATGAAAACAATGTGGATACAAGCAAGGAAGGAAGAAACAAGAAAGTTAAGATGAGAAGCCTAAATGTCTAAATCATAAAAATAAGACATTTTAGGAAAACATCATTTTTATTTAACTCATTCACTGCCACTGACGACTAAAGTCGTCATTTGCATTTTTTTACTGTGTGGGCGTCCGAAGGAGCTCCCGCACCGTGAGAACAAACTTCCCAGCTCTAAAGCCGATCTTCATCCGCATGCGTCCCACGTCACGTGATCAGGAAGCAGAAAATCCATGTGTTAGGGGATCGTTTTGGGCCGCTGCTGTAAAAAAAAGTGAGGCGCGAACCGGAAAAGCGTCTGCCGATCTCAATTCAACAACGGATTATGAAAGAACGGATAACGCTCGAAGCGCGCTGATTCTTCCTGATGTAAGAGGCGAGTCTCCTCTTTGTTTTGGCGTCAACATCATCCAAGCGCGCAACGTTCTGTGACTCTTACAAAAACTGTGAGAAATGCTGGCAGCGAATGAGTTAAAAACAATACGTCATTAAATAAAGTCAAGATAAGTTATCCTGAATAAAGTGGAAATACATTTTAATCTAAATGACCTGTATTTGATATAGTGCCTTCAAGAGTCCTAGAACCCCCCAAGGCGCTTCACAACACAACCAGTCATCTACACATTCACACGCTGGTGGTGATGAGCTACATTGTAGCTACAGTTGCCCTGGGGTGCACTGACAGAGGCGAGGCTGCCGAGCACAGGCGCCACCGGTCCCTCCAACCACAAGCAGGCAAGATGGGTTACGTGTCTTGCCCAAGGACACAACAGCAGCCTTCTCTGCTGGGAGCCGGGATCAAACCTACAACCCTCTTACTGGACATCCTGCTCTACTTCCTGAGATGCTGAGCTATAAAGAGAAATTCAGACTAAACCATAAATCAGACGTTGACCACAGCATGTTGGAGAGATGAGCTTACCGTCCACAGCAGTGTCCCAGTAACAGGAGTTAGCTGTGTGGAGCCCAGCACCAGTTTTCTGCATCACCGTACACGTCACTGCAGACATAAGGTCACCGTTATCTCTGCTATCATCTTCTTTAGACATCATCACATCTCTGCAGGTCTTCAGGTTTTATGAGGTCTTCATCACAACATGTTCAGCTTCCTGAAGGTATTTCCCGGGTTTAACTTTAAACTTTGGCTGGTTTTATTTCTTATTACAAGCAAACATTATGAGCAGCTATTTGACTTCTACAGTTTATTTTTTCCTGATCAAATGTTTAGACTTTACACAGAAACTGAGGTTAACTCGTACCGATGTACTTGTAGGGTTTTCCCAGTTTGACCAGCTGAGTGAGGCAGCGCTCCACGATGCTGGCTGTCCATTTGTTCACCTGACTCTGGCTGTAGTCATCCCCTCCCACTGTGCTTTCAATGCACTGACACACACACACACAAATCAGCATTAAGTCATGTGGGAGTCACTGATCCAGTTTTACTGCAGGCAATGGACATGATGAGAAAACAGCTGATTGAAATCAGGAAATCTAAAGTTTAAAAACAAGAATAACTAAATATTATACTTCCCAGAATCTGAACAGAAACATATTTGTTCTTCTTGCTTAAATCTTTTTTATTTCCAACACTAGATTATTCACGCATGGGAATTCTGGGATAAAACTAAGACTGAAAGGCAGGCAGAGCATTCAAATAGGAGACAAAAATCATGTCACAATTACTGCTCATACTGTAGGTGTGTATGTGTGTGAGTGTGTGTGTGTGAGGGTGTGTGTGTGTGGGGGGGGGGGGGGGGGGGGGGGGTTCTATTCGCAGAATGAAGGAAGAACATCTTAGCTTCTTATATCCACACCACTTGGAAAAATAAAAACTTGTACTAATTAAAAATGACTTTTCAGTCATATTTCTGACGACAGACTAGGTGGGAAAAAACGTTTTTGTCTTTTGTGAGTTGACAGCTTGTTTAGAATGTTTCATGAGGGACTTCTGAAATAAACAAATGCAATCGACTGAAATGATACTAAAAATGTTTTTTTTACAAACAAGAATATATGAAAATAAAAATCACAGTTAGAAGAATACCTCTTTGACGATGTTGTCAGCTTCCTCTGAATTGAACGAGCCCTGAAAATAAACAAAAAAAAATTCATGAAAATGTTTAAAATGAATTTCTGTTCATAAAATAAAAAACTGCGAACAAAAACGCTAGAGATAATAATTGGTTTTACAGCCTTGGGATCCTAGCATCCTGATGTTGGGAGTGGTTTTAGCTAGTAGCCTGTTAGCTAACAGAATACCGATCAGTCTAGAAGTTAATCTAACCTCGTTTCCATTATGAAACTCATCCATCTCTGCTCCTCTGCGTCCTCCTCAAGGTGCTTTCTGTCTTTTTCACGACGTAAAAGTAAACACATAAACCCGGTTTGTGGAGAGAGAAACCGGAAGTTCCGTGAGATGTCAACAAGAAAATTGGGTGTTACATCGAAATATATCCCCCGGTCAAAACAGGAAAATGCAACACCGGGGAGGAGAGGTGCAAAAATATAATACAATGGTTAAGCAATTTACTTTAGCTAACAATACTTAAAATTACTTTAAGATAATTTAAGAAGAGAACAATCAGAAGTTGATGGCCGTGACCAGGGGACACATTTCGAAGTAACATCTAAAGAAAGTAGTTGTGACCATAGATATCAAATATTAACATTATTATGTTAATATATGGTATCTATGGTTGTGACTGTATTGTATTGTATTTATTTTTCCGTCATAACAAATACATATAAAACACAGGAAAAGGAAAATAATTATCTAATAAAGAACATAATAATAATTATCACAGGTACAAATTCCTCTTGTAAATTAAACAGTTTCTTTAGATATAATTTATGAACGAAAAGGTATAGGCTGAAGTTAAACTTATTTAAGCCTACCCATTAATTCATTACAAAAAATCAACTGCTGCCACTAGGTGGCCGTTCTGACAAAGGTTCACCAGATTCAAACGTAAACATTTTTCTTTACATTTATCTGTTGATCTTTTTAAATTCACATTTTCATCCCTTAGATTATTTTTATTTTCTCATTATAACATTTCTCGTCTTTTTTTTTTTTTTTTACAAATAGAAACCTGATCACGTGCGTTCAAAAATATGGTCATAACAAATACCATCCGGCCATCTATCCATACATTTTCAGCTGCTTATCCTGGGTTGGGTTGCGTGGGCAGTATCTTAAGCAGGGAAGCCCAGACTTCCTTCGCCCCAGCTACTTGGGCCAGCTCTTCCGGGGGACTCCTAGCGTTCCCTGGCCAGCCGTGAGACAGTCCCTCCGGCATGTCCTGGGTCTTCCTTTAGGTCTTCTCCCAGTTGGACATGCCTCACCAAGGAGGCGCCCATGTATCTTAACTAGATGAGCCTCAACTGGCTCCTCTCCATGTGGAGGAGCAACAAATCTACTCCAAGCTTCTGAGCTTCTCATCCTACCTCTAAGGGAGAGCCCAGCCACCTTTTGGAGAAAACTCATTTCAGCCACTTATAATCCACAATCTCATTCTTTCGGTCACTACCCAAAGCTCGTGACCATAGGTGAGAATAAGAAGGAAGAAAGATCAGTAAATTGAGAGCTTTCCCTCTGGCTCAGCTCTCTCATCACCACAACAGATCGGTACAACGCATCACTGCATTACTGCAGATGCAGCACCAATCCATTCGTTCCCTCACTCGCAAACAAAACCCAGAGAGACTTAAAGTCCTCCATTTGGGGCCGGACATCATCCCTGACCGGGAGAAGGCATTTTACGCTTTTCCGAATCAAGACAATGGTCTCAGATTTAGAAGAGCTGATTCTCATCCCAGCTGCTTCACACTCGGCTGTAAACTGCTCCAGCAAGAGCCGAAGATCACGTTCTGATGGAGCCAACAGGACCACATCATCTGCAAAAAGTAGAGACTCAATCCTTAGACCACCAAACGGATCCCCTCAACACCTTGGTTGTGTCTAGAAATCCTGTCCATAAAAGTTATGAACAGAATCTGTGACAAGAGCAGCCTTGGCGGAGTCCAACTCTCACTGGGAACAAGTCAGACTTACTGCAGGCAACGCGGACCAAGCTCTGGCACCAGTTATACAGGGACCTAACTGCCCGTATCAAAGGGCCTGGTACCCCATACTCCCGGAGTACCCCCCAGAGGGCCCCCTTGGGGGAAGTGGTCGAATACCTTCTCCAATCCACAACACATGTAGATTGGTTGGGCGAACTCCCACTCAACCTCTAGGATCCCCCTGAGGGTATAGAGCTGGTCCAGTGTTCCACGGCCAGGACAAAAAGCACATACTCCTGAATCTGAGGTTCGACAATCCGACGGACCCTCCTCTACAGAATCGCTGAATAGACCTTACCAGAGAGGCTCAGGAGTGTGATTCCCCTGTTGTTTGAATGGACGTCTTGCTCCATGGTCTCACTGAACTCCTCCCACGCCCGAGTTTTTGCCTCTGTCACCACCCGGGCCACAGTTTGCTTGGCCTGCTGGTACCTATCAGCTGCCTCTGGAGTCCCGCAAGCCAAAAAGACCTGATAGGACCCTTTCTTCAGCTTGACGGCATCCCTGATCGTCGGTGTCCACCAGCAGGTTCTGGTATTGCCACCTCGACAGGCATTGACGGCCCTGCAGCCGCAGCTCCAGTCGGCCGCCTCAACAATGGAGGCATGGAACAGGGCCCACTCGGACTGAATGTCCCCCGCCTCCCCAGAACATTTTGGAAGTCTCTCGTCTCTCGTCTCGTCTTCCTCCGCTTATCCGGGTCCGGGTCGCGGGGGCAGCATCCCAACTAGGGAGCTCCAGGCCGTCCTCTCCCCGGCCTTGTCCACCAGCTCCTCCGGCAGGACCCCAAGGCGTTCCCGGACCAGATTGGAGATGTAACCTCTCCAACGTGTCCTGGGTCGACCCGGGGGCCTTCTGCCGGCAGGACATGCCCGAAACACCTCCCCGGGGAGGCGTCCAGGAGGCATCCTGACCAGATGCCCAAACCACCTCAACTGGCTCCTTTCGATCCGGAGGAGCAGTGGTTCTACTCCGAGTCCCTCCCGAATGTCCGAGCTCCTCACCCTATCTCTAAGGCTGAGCCCGGCCACCCTACGGAGGAAACTCATTTCGGCCGCTTGTATCCGCGATCTCGTTCTTTCGGTCATTACCCAAAGCTCATGACCATAGGTGAGGATTGGGACGTAGATCGACCGGTAAATCGAGAGCCTGGCTTTCTGGCTCAGCTCCCTCTTCCCCACGACAGATCGGCTCAGCGTCCGCATCACTGCAGACGCCGAACCAATCCGCCTGTCGATCTCCCGATCCCTCCTACCCTCACTCGTGAACAAGACCCCGAGATACTTAAACTCCTCCACTTGAGGTAGGACCTCTCCCCCGACCCGGAGGTGGCAAGCCACCCTTTTCCGGTCGAGAACCATGGTCTCAGATTTGGAGGTGCTGATCCTCATCCCAGCCGCTTCACATTCGGCCGCGAACCTACCCAGCAAGAGCTGAAGGTCAGAGCTGGATGAAGCTAGGAGGACCACATCATCCGCAAAAAGCAGAGACGAGATTCTCCTGCCACCAAACTCGACACACTCCACACCACGGCTGCGTCTAGAAATTCTGTCCATAAAAGTGATGAACAGAACCGGTGACAAAGGGCAGCCCTGGCGGAGTCCAACCCTCACTGGGAACAGGTCCGACTTACTACCGGCTATGCGGACCAAACTCACGCTCCTCTGGTAAAGGGACTGAATGGCCCTTAACAGAAAGCCACCCACCCCATACTCCTGGAGCGTCCCCCACAGGGTGCCCCTGGGGACACGGTCATAAGCCTTCTCCAAATCCACAAAACACATGTGGATTGGTTGGGCAAACTCCCATGCCCCCTCCATCACCCTTGCAAGGGTATAGAGCTGGTCCACAGTTCCACGGCCAGGACGAAAACCACATTGCTCCTCCTCTATCTGAGATTCAACTATCGATCGGACCCTCCTCTCCAGTACCTTGGAGTAGACCTTTCCAGGGAGGCTGAGGAGTGTGATCCCCCTATAGTTGGAACACACCCTCAGGTCACCCTTCTTAAAGATGGGGACCACCACCCCGGTCTGCCACTCCCTAAGAACTGCCCCCGATGACCACGCAATGTTGTAGAGACGTGTCAACCATGACAGCCCTACAACATCCATAGCCTTGAGATACCCAGGACGAACCTCATCCGCCCCCGGGGCTCCGCCGCTGTGTAGTTGTTTGACTACCTCAGCAACTTCTGCCCCCGAGATCGGACAGTCCATCCCCAGGCCTCCCAGCTCTGGTTCCTCCTCGGAATGCGCATTGGTGGGATTGAGGAGCTCCTCAAAGTATTCCTTCCACCGTCCGACTATAGCCCCAGTTGACGTCAGCAGCTCCCCATCCCCACTGTAAACAGTGTGAGCGAGTTGCTGCCTTCCTCTCCTGAGGCGCCGGACAGTTTGCCAGAACCTCTTTGGAGCCGATCGATAGTCTTTCTCCATGGCCTCACCAAACTCCTCCCACGCCCGAGATTTTGCCTCGGCAACTGCCACTGCTGCACCCCGCTTGGCTATCCGGTACCTGTCTGCTGCCTCCGGAGACCCACAGACCAGCCACGCCCTGTAGGCCTCCTTCTTCAGCCTGACGGCTCCCCGAACCTCTGGTGTCCACCAGCGGGTACGGGGGTTGCCACCACGACTGGCACCGGCCACCTTACGACCACAGCTAGCAACAGCCGCCTCGACAATCGCAGAGTGGAACAAGGCCCACTCGGACTCAATGTCCCCCACTGCTCTCGGGATGCGGTCAAAGCTCTGCCGGAGGTGGGAGTTGAAGACCGTCTTGACAGGTTCTTCTGCCAGGCGTTCCCAGCAGACCCTCACTATGCGTTTGGGTCTGCCAGGTCTACGCGGCATGTTCCCTTGCCATCTGATCCAACTCACCACCAGGTGGTGATCAGTTGACAGCTCCGCCCCTCTCTTCACTCGGGTGTCCAAAACATACGGCCGCAGGTCAGATGATACGACTACAAAATCTATCATCGACCTGTGACCTAGGCTGCCCTGGTACCAAGTGTACCGGTGGGCATCCTTATGTTCGAACATGGTGTTCGTTATGGCCAAACTGCGGCTTGCACAGAAGTCCAATAACAAAACACCGCTCGAGTTCAGATTAGGTGGGCCGTTCCTCCCAATCACACCCCTCCAGGTCAAGCTGTCATTGCCCACGTGAGCATTGAAGTCCCCCAGCAGGACAATGGAGTCCCCTGATGGAGCACTATCTAGCACTCGTCCCAGGGACTCCAAAAAGGGTGGGTACTCTGAACTGATATTTGGCCCATAAGCACAAACAACAGTCAGGACCCGTTCCCCGACCCGAAGGCGCAAGGAAGCTACCCTCTTGTCCCCCGGGGTAAACCCCAACACACAGGCAGAGAGTCTCGGGGCTAACA